TTTATTAATTTTTAATTCATATATTCATGTTAAAGTCCCACCTTTTTTTGAGATAACTTGACAATATTAAAAAATTAGAAGACTAGACTTTGTGTTTCAAGGGAACACATATGTGGTTAGACTATGGAAAAGGTTCTCAGGGCTTTGGATTTGATCTATGTACAATCCACAATTTGTATTTATGTAGCTCATTGATAAAATAGGATTGAACCTTAGGTCGATACTGTGATACTTTCTGTGGCTTACTTTAGTGAGTGGAAAGGAAAATGTGTGATTCCTCTTTCATTGTCCCTTATGCTTACTGCGTGATACCTGTGGCAGCATGACAGTGACATATCAGCTTACACCTACGAGCGCACCCTGATGATGGAGCAGAGGTCCCAGATGCTCCGGCACATGCGACTGTCCAAAACAGAGCGGGATAGAGAGGTGAGACCATGTTGTATCCATCTAATCCGGCCCAATGAAGTCCGTCTCTGAAAGGAGTGATACCTAATTGTTCTCATAGAATGACAGTTTCTTTCCTTCTCACTTTGTCCATCATCCCACTATAACTACATTGGTGTTTCAAAATAATTGAAGGTAAAACATTAGAGGAAATTGGGATAGTGCCATAGCTGTGTTGGGCCTCCCTCAGGCACAGTTGGTGAAAGACAGGAACTCAATGCTACGACTGACCAGCATTGGCTCAGATGAAGATGAAGAGACAGAGACTTACCAGGAGAAGGTACACATGACTTGGACCAAAGACAAGTACATGGCATCCCGGGGACAAAAAGCCAAGTCAATGGAAGGATTCCAGGACCTGCTGAACATGCGTCCGTAAGTTTTCCAGCTCACAAGCTTATCACATAGATGGTGTCCTAGTCAGTGCCATAGATGTGACACTGCCTGGATACACCTGATTGAGTCTGTTGTTTCACCCCAAATCCAGCCATCTCTTTATTGTTTGCCTGTCAGTTAACACTGTACACAAGCTATCCATCCTTTTTCCTCTCCATACAGTGTTCCTGGCATAAAACAAGCACATGTAGAATGAGAGAACCCAGGATATTATTATAAGGAAATTATTTGTCATTACCTTATTCATAGGCAGCCACACAAAAGCTCTGTATCTCAAAAGTTTTCAAAAGTTGACTATATGCCAGTTTTTCTTTGCTTTAACCACCTCTATTTCTCTCTGCTCCCCTTCCCCAGCGACCAATCCAATGTGAGGCGGATGCACACAGCAGTGAAGCTCAACGAGGTTATAGTTAACAAGTCCCATGAAGCGAAGCTGGTTTTGCTGAATATGCCAGGGCCGCCCCGAAATCCTGAGGGTGATGAAAACTGTATCCTTTCCAATAGTAGAGCTACCAGTAGAGAAAATTTTAGCCTGTTTCTTATGTGAGACCACCAGGTAAAAGTCATTGTGCCTATTTTCCTCTTAAGGAAGGAAGGCTGTGAAAATGCCTTAGGCAACGATTCTTACAAAGTAGTGAGATTTGTCTCCTTTCGGGGAGTTGGGGGTGTAATGTTCTCTCTGAACCCTAATGAGACTTTTGGTGGTGCACTTGCAACATGATTTCTAATATTCAATGTATAAAACCCTTTCTGACAGTTCTAGAAATGGAATACCCATATCCTTTCTCCTCTTCTGGCTCTACCCACTTTGCAAAGCCTTTTTCTTTTGGATGGAGTTAGGGGAGCAGCTGAAATGGAACCTCCTCTGAGGGGGAAAAAAGAGAGATAAGGGGGTTTCTTCATACCCAAGATTGTTTTTATGGGACCCCTTTAGTACTACAAGTGGCATAGACTGGCCCTTTCTCACCATTACAGAAAAGAGGTTAAAAGGAAAAAAACTGGCAGGAAACTCCGACTTGAGCAGCTTCCCTTAGAAATCACATGGGTCCTCTCTAGGAATTGTATGGCTGCCCTTCCTGTTGCGCCTTTTTCTTCTTTTTTGGCTTATTTTTCTGTGTAGTAATAATACATCACTTGTGGGTTTCCCCCATTTTTAATAACATTTAGGGGGAAAAATCCAACAAATGAGAGTGTTGTATTGTATATGCAAAAGGACTAAATTCTGGATTACTTCACAGGGTTAAGCTGAATCCAGAGCTCAGATTTATCCAATTCCGAGTATATAATAATTACACCGGGCATGTTGATTTTTCAGCTTTGCAGTCATAAAACTCAGATTATCATGCCTGGTTGTAAAGTATGTTATTCACCTGCCTATTGTCTCCTTGACAAATTCTGAAGACATGGAGTTTCTAGAAGTGCTCACTGAAGGACTGGAGCGGGTCCTCCTTGTCCGAGGTGGTGGCAGTGAAGTGATCACCATTTATTCATAATCCACTCTGAATGACTCTGCTTGGCCTCACTTTTCTTGAAGGGCTTCCATCCTCGGTGGAAGTGCCAGCTTTTTACTACCGCTTCCATCAGATAGAGGCCTGTGTTCTGTACACATCACAGTGAACTCTTGACAAGCTGAGCCTTGAGTACTAGGGCAAAAAAGTACAAATAGATCTGCTCTTTGCTATTATATGATCTGTAGCAAATATTCCCTCAACATCAGAAAATGGTCAAGTCCTAAAAGACAAGTCTGGGCCAGCTGAAGGCAAGTTAGAATTAACAAGCAAAATGAATAAAATGAATTGGTAAAAGGATTACTAGAAAATCAACTCAAGACAAAAAGCCAGTATGTATCCAACATTAAACATAAAGCTCCAAAGTCATGGTTCCTTGATGACAGCATGGGGGTAACAGCCAGAGACACAGCCTCATTATACTCGAGTTCATAGCTAAGTATATGGGGACGTAACATCCTTGTGGAGATAACCTGTGGCAAGCCAAGATGAAAAACCTTTTTTAGCTGATTTTCCTTAAAGTATCCACTTGCTCTCCAGGACTCTAATTTTATATTAGGTAACTAATAAACAAGAACTGAAATATGGCTGCAGCCTCTACTTGTTTCTCCAAAATTCCCCCAGAATACCAGGCTTAAGTATATATACTGTGTTGTATATTTCTGTTTTTATTATCAAAACCCCATTCTGTGGTTAACATTGTAATACAGGCAATGTTATGGAAATTGTTTTTTAAAGGTGAAGTAAAAACTATATCATTTCAAATGGCCAAACTAAAGGAACTCCAAAAGGTAGCTTTTAAGATTTACTGAAATAGTTTGTGGTTACCTATGTGACAAAGGTGAAACATATAAGCTCTTATCTAAGAAACAGAGATGATAATGCACATTGACCAGGAGGTTCTCCTTTCCACCTGGGTTAGGTCAGAAATCAGAGACAAACACCGGGAACAATGGCTAAGATCCTTCCCTGAGGCTTTAGCCTATCTTTTGAAGGGGAATCAGCGAAGTTCCAGAGCTGCCCTCCCCCCAAAGTGCTGCTACTCCCCTTGCCTGCTGCACTTAAGTGGCATACAGTCGGCATTGGCCTGATCCAGGAGACTTTTCTTCCACTGAGAAAACTGTGACCTCATTTCCAAAGCCATAATGAAGGTTAAATGTTCAGAGTATGAGCATTTTTCTTTATCCCTTTCAATTTTATTCTTCATTCTAACTGCAGAAACTTGGCTCTGAACTAAGAGATTACCCAAGCCAAAAGTCTTCTACTTCACGTTCTCAAAAAGCCCTAAATGTAACGAGGAAATATTTGTGCAGGCTTAGCGTTTCTCTAATTTACTGACTGCAAACAACTGGATTTCAAGCATAAGGATTTAGAGAAACTATCTTGCCTGTATTCACGGCCGCTTTTGAATTTCACTTCATTAAACGAATGCTACACTTGTTTGATTACCCAGTAGGAAATGAAGCAAGCTGACCTAGGGACCAGCAGATTATTCATTTGACCTTTCTGGACAGAGGAGAACACCCTTCAATATGGCTTATGAAATTGAGTCATTTTTGATGTGTTCCCTTTGCTTTCTTTCAACCTCCAGACCAGTCAGGGTAGCAAAGAAGACATCTTTTCAGTCTTTTTTTCTACTCCTTGCTGCAGAGGGTAGAAACATTGTTTACAACTTCCACTGCAACACTCCATTGCTTAGTTGAGTCCAGCAGTAGTGGAATAGGTCCCATAGGACCCTAGATTAATATTAAAGGCCTGTGCTTTAAAGGTCAGCCTGCCCAGGAATTCTCCACATTTACACACACCCTCTAGCCAAAATGATATATGTATATTAATTTTCCCACTTAGAAAAAATGTTTTAGAAAAGCTTTTTGTGGTTGAGCTCTGTAATATTTTAAAAGGATAAGGGAGTTAGTGGCTACTAATATAGCTGCTACTTCATCCCTTAAAACATAAAATCACAGTTACATGGGGAAATAGTTATTAGGCCAGATTTAAAATCATTTCTGTCTAGAGCATTTCATGTTTATGTGTTGCTTATGTTGTTTGTCTGCAAAGTATCTTGTCTCTTTTAATCACTGCATATATAGCAATACAGAAACTTGATTAATGAGAATGCACCTTAGGGGAAAGGGCTTTGTGTTTCAAGAAGGAAGAGATAGGAGAGATTCTCCTGCCTTTTGATTAAGATCCAGCTTTTAAGTCTTAGCTATGACTTTACCAGGGCAGGTTAAAATACACATTCTCCAGCTACTGGCCCTCTGCCTTCTATAGCTATCTTAAAAGCTGAAGTTTGATTTGCAGCATCTGCCTGACTACCTGGCTCCTCTTGGCAGAGGAAAGGTCACTACTTTCTATCTTCCATTGTCTCCGATTCCTGTGGCCCCAACAATCCCACCAATCCTCATTCCCCATAAACGTGTTAAAAAAAAACATTATTGTGGATATTAAAGTAGCAATTACACTGTAAGCATATTTACATGCTCTTTTTATCTGGTTTATTTTTCTTTTCATAATGTATAATCTGAATCCAGCATTAATTTCTCACATCTTCACAAGTATCTCCAATAGAATTTTTATGTCCCTGCTTGTGTTAAATAAAAGTGAAATATTAGGGAAGGTATAGATTTAAAGGAAACTGTGCAACTCTTTTTTTTACACATTGTTCTCAACCATTTAATTTATATTGAAAGATGCTGCTGTGGTTCTTGATTTAGCAGCAACCGTTCTTTTGTTTACATAGAGTTAGGGTTTTATTTGTTGTTTTGCTCTGTACTGGAAACATAAATAAAGTTTTCTACATTATTTTCAGTCAAGGGTTGTGGCACAGTTTCTTTTGTGATTCATATGCTGTCTTTCTAAGATTTGTCTCTTCCTCACCATGGAAAAAAGAGCTTTTGGTTCTTTTTGCATGAGTATTAATATTAAGGGTTAGTGTGCTGAGGAGGAGCTCGTAGGCATTACAGAAGGTTGTATGTGAGATCCAAGTATGTAGGCACCATGTGCCACTTTCTCAGGTTCACAAAAGCAGTCCTCCACCACTGAACTCCATCCTCTGAAACAAGAAAAAGTAAACAGGTGAATGGTGACTGAGTGCTGAAATAACTTCCTGAATCAAGTATTTAATACTTTAATCACAAACACTATTTTGCTTTATCCTTAAAAAAAAAACCAAAAATACTTCCAAACTCCTAATCGATCTTATTTCTTATGAAATGAGCTTTCCTACAGACTCTAATCCCCTACCATCAAATAGGTATTATTTACTGTACATTACAACTGCCCAAAATGTAACTTTTCTTTTGCCTTACCTCAGGAGGCTCAATGAAGGCTAACCAATCTGACGCATGTGTTGGCAACAGTCCCATTGACTGGCACTTGTAAACAGCCAATGCCAGACCCATGAGGTTCCCAATGAGATATACCAAACCCTGAAGAAACTTCTGGCTTGAACTTTCTAGCATCTTGAAGGCTGTTGGGGTAACAAAGTATCAAAACCAAAAAAACTTTTTCAATATGAATCAGGCCATATATTAAAATAATAGAAATAATATAGACAGACCATAGTTAAGACAGTTCATGTAAGGTGAACAGAAAAACATGATAAGCATTTTTCCTGCTCCATGCCACCACCACTACCAGCACCACCCTGCACACCCTCCCCCTGCCAACTAACCAAAAGCTCCACTGAAGACTTCCAATATGAATTTTATCTTAGAATTTGCCTTTAGCTTTTAAAACTTAGGAAGAAGTTATTATTTCAAGAATACTTACTGGCTGAAATGGCCATAAGGGCCTGAATGGGTCGCCAAGCCATCATACACACCATCATAGTGGGGAAGATGGAGATAGTATTGCCAGCCATGTACATGATGAAGAGGTTCATGGGAATCTGTTTGAGGGGACCCAAGGCGATGTCCCAGCAGCGCTAAAACAAACACAATTTTAACCTCTGGTCCGTGTTCTCAGTCCCACATTTATCATGAACTGATATTAAAATCCAATGAACACAATTCCCAATTCTGTGCTTCTTCCGGGGTTGACCCCTCAATTCCACCACATCTGCCCTTCTCCATATTGCCACAGAAAACGTGCTCTTCTAAAGATAAGGCATTACCTTTTGTTTTGTTTTTCTCTATGGGTTTTCCAAATGTCATTTTTCCCCATTATTTTGGGGAAAGAAAACCCTTCCCTACTTTTGTACTTCTCCATCTATCATTGTCCCATCTACAATGGAAGGAATAGATAAATCCACATAGTGGGAGATTAGTCCACCTTAATAACGAATAGAAGAAACAAATCAAGATATAGAAAATTTGAATGACATTAACAAACAACTAACAAAGAACATGGCACCCAACAGTTGCAGAATTTGCATTCTTTTCAAACACAGGACATTTAAAAAAACTGACCATTTGCTGAACCATGGAAAAAGTATTAGTAACTCTCAATTCAAATCATACAAAGCATGTTCTTTGATGATGATGCAATTAAACTAGAAATTAGTAACAAACTAGAAAATCCCAAACAGAAGATATACAGATAGATATCCAACAGACACATGAAAAGATGCTCTACATTACTAATCATCAGGGAAATGCAAATCAAAACCACAATGAGATGTCACCTCACACCAGTCAGAATGGCTATGATCAGAAAGATAAATAACAAGTGTGGCAAGGATGTGCAGAAAAGGGAACACCCCCCAACACACACACACACACACACACACACACACACACACACTCACTCACTACTGGTGGGAATGAAAAATGGTGCAGCCACTGTGGGAGTATGGAGTTTCTCAAACTAAAAATAGGAATACCATACAACTCAGTAATTCCACCTCTGGGAATTTACCCAAAGAAAACAAAATCACTAATCCAAAAAGAACATACATGCACATGTATGTTTTTGCAGCATTATTTACAATAGCGAAGATAATAAAAGTAACTTGAATGTCCATCAATAGAGGAATGAATAAAGATGTGGTACATATACACACTGGAATATCAGCCATAAAAAAGAATGAAATCTTGCCATTTGCCTGGATCTACAGGGTATTATACTAAGTGAGTAAGAAAGACAAATACTATCTGATTTCACTTACATGTAGAATCTAAAAAAAACCAAATAGACTCATAAACACAAAGTACATGTACAGACTGGTGGTTGCCACAGGGGAGTGGGTAGGATGATGGTTGAAATAGATGAAGGGGATAAAGAGATACAAACTTCTAATTATATAACAGATTATTAGTCATCCAGATTAAAGTACAGCATAGGGGTTATACTCAATAATCTTATAACATCTTTGTATGTTGACAGCTGGTTAACTACAGTTATAGTGATAAACATTTAGTAATGTATGCAATTGTTGAAGCACTATGTTGTACACCTGAAACTAAAATATTGTACATCAACTACACTTCAGTTAAAAAAAAAAGTATTTAAATTTTCTCTCTGAAAGAGGGATGCTTAAACACAGTATGAGACATTCAAAGAACATAATACTATATAGTGACTAATAATGATGCCATATACATAGATTTTTTGAAAATCACTCAAAATGTTAATAGTAAAAAATAAACCTGTTACTAAAAACTAACTCCCCTATGTGTCAGAATTAACAAATGTACTCTAACCCATGAATCAAAGAAATTACAATGGGAAACAGAAATATTGTTAAATGATAACAAAAATATCACATATTTAAACTTATGGGATACAGGTAGAGCTTTGAGAAATTTATAACCTTAAAATTAGATGACTATACCCTCCTACACTGCTGGTGGGAATGTAGGCTAGTTCAACCATTGTGGAAAGCAATATGGAGGTTCCTCAAAAAACTAAAAATAGAAATCCATTTGACCCAGGAATCCCACTCCTTGGAATTTACCCAAAGAATACAACTTCTGAGTCAAAAAGACATATGCACCCCTATGTTTATTGCAGAACTACTTAAAATAGCCAAGATATGGAAGCAACGTAAGTGTCCATCAGTAGATGAATGTATAAAGATGTGGTACATATACACAATGGAATACTATTCAGCCATAAGAATGAATCAAATCCTACCATTTGCAACAACATGGATGGAGCTGGAGTTATGTTCAGTGAAATAAGCCAGGCCGAGAAAGACAAGTGCCAAATGATTTCCCTCGTTTGTGGAGTATAACAACGAAGCAAAACTGAAGGAACAAAATAGCAGCAGACTCCCAGACTCCAAGAAGGGACTAGCAGTTACCAAAGGGCAGGGGTGTGGGAGGGCAGGTGGGGAGGGAGGGAGAAGGGGATTGAGGGGTATTATATTTAGTGCACATGGTGTGGGGGGTCTTGGGTAAAACAGTGTAGCACAGAGAAGGCAAACAGTGTATTTGTGGCATCTTACTACACTGATGGACAGTGACTGCATTGGTGTATGGGTGGGGACTTGATAATATGGGTAAATGTAGTAACCACATTGTGTTTTCATGTGAAACCTTCATAAGAGTATATATCAATAATACCTTAATAAAAAATTAAAACAAAAAATTAGATGACTATAACATCTATTTTAGTTTCATTTTTTTTTTGTTAGAAAAACAAACTCAAGGAAACGAAAAGGAAGAAAATAAAAATGCTGGCAGAAAATGAAATTTTCTTCGAACCAACAAAGCCAAAGGTGTTATTTTGAAAAGATTAATAAAATCAAAACTGCTAAGTCTGATAAAGAAAAAAGGGAAGATGATAAATATTCAACATCGGGAATGAAAAAAGGCTACTTCTATTGATCTTACAGATATTACAGTGATCACATTACAAGTTTTGGGAAATAAATTCCTAGAAAAAATTGCCTAAGAAATTGGAAATTTAAATAGTCTCATAACTGTTTAAGAAACAATCTATAATTATGCCCAGACGATTTCCCTTAGCAAATTCTAGACACTTAAAAAAAAAGTCAATCTTAGACAAACTTTCAGACAATAAAAACATTCTACAACTCATTATATGAGGTCTTATAAATACCAAAACCTGACAAGGACATCATTTTAAGAAAGTTTATAGACCAGTATCATTTATAAACCTAAATACAAAAATCCTAAACAAAATATTAACAAAGTAAATCTAGCTACATTAATAATACACCACTATCCATTTGGGCTTATTCACATTAAAAATAAATAGCTGTATTTGTAAACAGTCTCCTAATGTGTCATTTACATAGACCATTTACCTGGGCATTTAAATATCACATCATCTACACAGTGAATTGTTCTAAAATAAGTATTTTATAATAATCTACGTTTAGCAGCAGGCCATTTAAAAAATACTTTACTATCATGTATTATTCATATTAGACTTTGATGTACCAAGATGAAAATGGCTGGATGATATATGTCAAAAAGCACTGATAACAGCTCTGTCATTTTCAAGTTGTGAAAATCACTGCATTTCATGAAAAAAAAATCATTTTGTACTGAACAATATTAAGGGTGAGAGGAAAGGAAGTGGCAGGTACAGTTCTAGGTACTTGGAAGACAAAATCCTGTTATGGAGTTTATAAGAGTGAAAAGACATAATAAAGTAATTTAAAGCTGTATCACTGAATGATATGGAGAAACAAAGTAAGAGAACAGTTAAGGGAGTGCCGTGAGGGTGGGCTTCACTAAGAAGGTAACATTTGAGAGACCTACAAAGATGAGAGGCTAAGTCATAAAGGTATCTGGGAGAAGAGTATTCCAGGAAGAGGGAAGAACAAGCAGAAAAAGCCCAAGGTGGAAGCTTGCCTGTAGTATTAAAGTGGCAGTAAGGAGGTCATTCTGACTAGACTGGACTGAACACGGGAAAGTGGTAGGCGATGAACTGGCTTATTACAGATGACAGATGAAGGTAAAAAGAAGTAGTAAGTAATAAGATTCTGAATCTATTTTGAAGGTAAAGCCAACAATATCCCGACTAGTTGTGTGGTGTAAGGTAACTAGAGTAGAAAAGGATGACTTAAATTGGCCACCAATAGATAATTTTCAACATATTTTCTTTCACCTTATGTTGGACCATCTTTTATTTCCCCATTAAGCATTTTTGGAGCTAATATGTCAATTATTGTAACACTATTCTCAAGCAGTTTGGCTACCCAATATTCGTGATAAGGGCTATTTACAGTAAGATACTCATAGGCTGCCTGGGCGAGGAAGGTGATATGTAGATAGGCCTGGCCCAAGAACTACGGTGACATCTATACCTCTGTACCTTCTCCACGAGGATCCGGTCTGTCTCTTGCACGCTGGTATCAGGCACTTGCTTGTCCAAGTAACCGACTGGATACAGAGAGTCTCCCAGGCCGCCACCCCGGTCACTTCGGCCCCTAAAGAACCAAAACAGGAAACTAAGGCTACAGCCTCTCGAACTTCATCTCCCACAGTTCTTGTTACACTAATCATAGGAATACAGATCCTTAGATGAATCTACCCAGATCAGAGCAAGGCCTCTGAGTTCGTCAGTCTTTTGCCTACTGCGAGGACTGAAATAAGCACCCTCTGGCCATAGAAATTTCCACAGCCGAAGCCGCTAGCTCCCTAGCAGACGTCTTTGTGCCACCCATCCTTCCAGAGAGGTGTACCTGTTGGCTGAGGTCCCATTCCTCTGGGGCAGTTCCGGGGTGAAGGCTCTGATACTGAGCTTCTCCCTGGCTCCTCACCTGCTGCCACCTCCAGGCCCGCTCAGCTCAACGGCCCACTTGAAACGCCGGCCTCGGTTGGCCACCAGGCTACCCTGGGCCGTCATGGCAACCGACTACCAAAGAGGCGATGCTCCTTACTCTGGAAAGTGTGGCGGAGGATCAGGCCACAACACCCACGATTTTTCTCGTCTCACTCTGCAAACCCACTTCCGGCGCGTGAGTATAGACGTCACTTCGCCCGGAAGTTGACAGGTGGTGTATTGGAGAGAGTACTTGGAGAGAAGTTGTGGGCTACCTAAAGTGGTATCCGCGCACTTTCTCCTTTCTGGAGGCCTGTTGATTGTTCCTTGACTCCTGAGGTGCGCTTTAAGGGACAGAGGGAAGGTACATACTAACTCGTTAGTAAGTGAAACCAAGAAAAGCTTCCTGAGCTCTTGCGCTCTCCTGGGAACACAAGATTCAGGTCTCCGTTTAAATCCTGGCTTCATCATGGATTGGGTGACATGAGCGAGTTTTTTAGTAGCTTCCGAGTACTGCCTGCCTACCGTGTTCCAGGAGCTTTGTGTATTATGTCTTAATCTCACGGTAACCGTGCGAGATAGATTCCTGTTCTACACGAGAGCTAGGAGGAAGGATGGGCGTGAGAAGGCTCCCAGGGCTCGCGATTCAGATGGCCTCGTATTGAATCTCGTTACTTAATTGTGTGACCTCGGGCAGGTTAAATCTGTGTTTCACTTCTTCATTTGTTAAAGTTGAGTAGCCTACCTTCGTTGGAGGCTTGTGAAGTTAAATGGAAGAGTGCCCACTGCATAAGCGTGTTGTTTTTTTAATGTCATTAAATCTGCATTATTCGTGGTGGTTGAGTTTTGTACTCAGTAATGTACATATATAATAATTTAATCTTTTTAGCGGTTTCCTGTCGCCCCCCCCCATACGAAGTGTTGCTGTAAACATTCTTTAATGTCTTTTCTTATTTTCCTTAGTCAAAATTCTCAGAAGTGCAATTGCTGAGTCAGAGTATGTACGTTTTTAAGGAATTTTCATTTTAAATGTCTTACGGAAAAATTGCACTCATTTACATTCAACAGCTTTATAAACAGCTTTATAAATTTTTTTATTGCCAGTTTAAAGATAATACTGTATTATTTTTCCTTTTTAATATTTTTAATGCTTACCGCTTCTTCCCACCCCCACCTTAAATTATTTAACACATTGGGGCTAAAATAAAGTGGGAAAAAAAAAGACTGCCAAGAAAACCACATCTTTCCTTCCTACTTTAACACTGGCCTCCAAATGTTATTAAAAGAATCATTACCTTGGGGAGAATTACTGATGGAGAATGCAAAAAGACGGTCTGGTTTCTTAGCTAATGGGAATCTCAGTGGACTTAATTGTATATTATGTTGCATTTTAGTTCTGATAGTGCAGTACTTTAATGCCTTATACCTGAAAAACTGAGCTTGAGTTTAAAAAAAAAATGTAAATAGCCCCTCTGGTTCCAGAAGGAAAACTAGTCTAGTTTGTTTAGTACATCTGTTTCTTATCAATTCATGAAATCAGAGCACATGCACAAAACAGGATCATAGTCACCAAGAGTTGTTAAAACTATAAACTACTAGGCATTGAAAATACCACATATAAGATATAATTCCATACTGAAAAATGTAGCAATGTCAAGAAAATTGGACAATTTAAAAAATCTTACTTGTTAAAGGCAATTCTCATAAGTTACACTTAAAATCATCCATTTTAACATCTCCCAAAAAAGTTGAATTTATTATTTTACATTAACATTATGGTATTTAAAGAGAATAATCAAGTCATCTCATGGACTGGAAGGCTACTTATTAATTCCTTTTCATTTCCAGACCTCATCAAGCAGTCACTACATTTATGGAGGTAAGGTCAGTCGAATGCTTGAAATCTACATGAATTTTAAGATGTTCAGTCCATCCTATTGAATATTCACAGTATTGACATAAGCCAATCCCTTCAGATAAATGCGAATTTAAATGTTTGCAATATTCTAGCATACTTGAAAGCCTTTGCCACAGTCATCACAAACAGGAAAAATTTTAGTATGTTCAATAGCAACATGCATGTTAACATTTGTATGAAGTCTACTCCTGAAACCACATACTTGACATACAAAGAAGTTCTTATATTTGTCAAAGGTAATTTTTAAGAGGCTGTACTGTCTGTGTTCTCCATTGTTATACTTATCACTTAATTCTGTTTGTTTACATGGATGTTCATTTACCACATGGCTATGCAAGTCTTCTAGATAACTTGTTTCATGTTCACAGAACTGACGCAAATACTGTTCACTACAGCTGTGCTCCTAGAAGTGTAGGTAGAGTTCACTGCTTGAGGAGAACTTATATCACACATTTCACACCATTAAAGGTGATCACGAAAATGAGTGTCTGTAATGTGCTGGCTGAAGTTCTTAAAAATTATTGTCTCATAATCTCAGTATTTAAAAATGTAGGGATCCTCTTCATGCAGTTTGGTGTGTTTCATCAGAAGCATATTGGTAGAGAAACTTTTCTTACATACTTGATGATGCCAGGGTTCTTGTCACGGAATTGAAGAATGAACTTCACAAACACTCAAAGTAGGAGAGCAAGTGAGAGGCTTAGAGAGAAAGTAAGAGAACAGCTCCTGGCTCACACCAGGAGGGTACAACACAATCCTGGGTAGTGCATTGTCTAGGGGATTTATAGGCAGTTGAGAGACAAAGGGCTAGGGATGCAGACCTGCTAAATGGTCCCCAAATGATTATCTTTGAAGAGACACTATGTTTCTTAACAGTTTTCCAGATTATTTTGAGGAGTTAACACAAGAAATTTACTGCTTTGATTCTTTCCCAGAATAGCAGCTTCTTGGTTTGGGAGCATATCAGTCAAGACTGCTTGTCCTGCTCCCAAGGTGGGATGAGTTATTGTCTGTTAATGTTAAGAAACCTATTTTTTTACTTCTTGGGTTTTAAAATGCAATCTTATCTTTAAGGTGGAGTTTTTCCTGTTTTTACTATGTTGTTTGTGACTGGGCTTGCTTGCCATATTAATTGCCCAGGTTATAAATTACTTGATTAGGGGCTAGAGGAGGAAAAAAACACCTCCCGGTAAAGTTAAAGAATATAAGCTGGGCCTTTTAGCAGGCTAATGTAAATTTTACAATAGCATGATTTAATTGACACAATGAAGACATGGGCTATGCTGACCTCATTTTCTTGTCTTGGGATATTCAGACATTCCAGGCCAAGTTATTCCTGGCTTTTTACTTTAAGCCTCACTGAAGAATGCTTATATTCCTAGTTTGATATTTTACTTTAGGGAATTAATGTGACTCTGGCTTTGCTTAATTGTTTAACATGGAGTTTTGATAGGGGTCTTTTTCTGGAGGCCCTCACCCTACTCTGTCTAAACCCACAGTCCCTGTCTCATTGACACACATTTGAATCATTACGCTTATGCTTCAGGATCATATGCTGCTTTAAATCAGAAAAATATGTGCTGTTGAACTCACAGAGTTCACATTTATAGAGGCCACTGCTATTAGCTCTCAGTAAAGGTTATTTCTGCTGGGCAGTCCCATTCACAGTTTGGTTCTTGTTAAGACTTTAGCAAGGTTTAGCTGGTGAATCTCCATCAGTTTGGTCTTGAAGAAGAATTGGTTTCTGTCTCTATGTCATAATCTTCAGAAATAGCATGCACTTCTGAAGCAACTGGAACATCTTGAGCAGTGTGAACTTCTATACGACTCCCCTGAGTTTGCTGGTTGACTGATTCATATTGTATTATTTTTTAATTTGCATTTTTCTGACTAGTTAGATAATGGTCTAGGGCAGGTGGGGGGAGTTCTCTGAGAATGTAGTTGGGAGGTAGGCCTGAAAAGGGCCAATTAAAGGGTTTGAATTCTGAAGATGGTGGTGATCTGGAGATTCTAAAGATTTCCACTCCCACTTTATTTTCTCATTTTAAAAATCATTTATGTTCAGAGAAGACAAGTAATAACTCTGGCATCTTACTACACTGATGGACAGTGACTTCAATGGAGTATGGGGGGGTCTTGATAATATGGGCGAATGTAGAAACCACAAAGTTTTTCATGTGAAACCTTCATGAGAGTGTATATCAATGATACCTTAATAAAAAAATCATTTGTGTTCATTGTGGACTGTTTGAATAAGGCAGTAAATGAAAAATGATTTTCCCCTTCCAGTCCATTCTAAAATGTTTATCTGAGCATAGGAAGATCCAGTTTGTAAATTGCTTTCCTGCTTCTTTCTACTTTTCAGCCTTTGTTATGGGGGTTTCTGATGAGCCTTTGTCATCTCAAGTTCACAAGGGCTTTGGCCCTACTGAACATTTTTCTTCGTCCCACTATATTCTGCATAATAGCACTTATCATATTATATTGTGTTCGTTGACATGCCTTGGCACTTATTTCTACACCTACACCCCAGCTACACCCTACCCTAAATTCCTTGAAGGTAGAATCTGTATGTTAATTATCTTTGATTCTACAGCCTATTGCCTTGCACATAAAGTATAGATAAAGTTTAGTGAATGTGAGTAAATTTAATTGAAAGTAAATAAAATACAAAATTGAATATACTATAATTATATTTATGTAAAATAAAATGTCAAAACTATAAGGGAATACATTTTAAAAGTTTTATATTTTATCTAGGCAATTGCTTTCATGCAATTTTGTCTGATTTTAAGGTATTCTTGTGCTTTTCTTTAATTGAAGTATCATTGATGTACAATTTTTTATTGATTTCAAGTATGCTTTAATAAATTTTAAAGGAACACTTTTGAAAACATTGCCATTCCAATCATATAGTCCTTCCCTGTTAAGGTACCCCACCACCACCACCACTCACTATAAAAATTTTAAAACTGTAACCTGAATCAAATTTGCTTTGGCCTCAATAGGTTGCTCCAGGTCCTGTTTATTCCTTTATCCTAGGAATCCTAATAGTGTTGCCAAAATGTGTCCCAAAGAATATGAAGATATTGGAACTAAGGTGAGGAAGGGTTCCAAGATCAATAAATTTGAGAAATACTACAGACTATATTCTGCAGATACACCCCAGAGATTCTCGGTGCTATTAATATAACATATTAAAAGCATGAGAAATGATTGAGTAAAGAACGTCCTTTTATTTTT